GGGAGCAGAAGAGGGAGGAAAGGCTAAGGCTCCCCACCCCCTTTGAAGCCACACCCCAATGACCCAATTTTCTTCCACTAGGCCCCACCTACTAAAGGCTTTTCTACCTCCCAATAGTGCCACAAGTTGGGTACCAAGCCTTCAACACATGAGCATTCGAGGGCCATTTCAGATTCAAACTGTCATAAAATTATTTATGTTTAATATGATTGTAATAGTTGAGTTCAAATCTACATCCTTGCTATTTATTTTGATTCATCTATATTTTGTCACCTTTTCCCTCATTCTCTGCCTTCCTTTGGGCTGAATATTTGTAGTATTCAAATGTATATCCTTTTTTGCTTTATTAGCTATATTTTTCTTTAAATTCTATACTGTGCAACCTTCTAAAGTCTACCTAAAAGTAATAGATCACTTCAAGTGTAGTTTCCAACCGTATATTTCCACTTCATCTTCTCTGCTCTATTTGTTGACATGAAATTTCTGTATATAACTATTATAAGCCACATAATACCTTGTTATTATTTTTGCTGTAAGTAGTCATTTATCAATGAAAGATATTTAGAAAATAAGAAAGTATTTTATATTTACCCACACATTTTCCATTTCTGTTGTTCTTTTGCCATTTCAATAGACCAAGATTTCTATCTGGCATTATTTTTTTATATTTGACACATTTCCATTAATATTTTCTGCAGTGCATATATGCTGGTAATATTTTTCAGAACATATGTATTTGAAAACTGTTCTTTTTGCCCTTGTGTTTAGGTATATTTTATGGGATTACAGAATTCTTTATTGACTTTTTCCCATTTAAGTCTTTTAAACTGTTGCCCCACTAACTTCTGAAAAGAAGTCTGCTATTCTTTTAAAGATTTTCCTTTGTGTATAATGTTGTGTCTTACTTTATTTCCATTTAAGGTTTTCTCTTTATCACTGGTTCTAAGCAATAAACTCATTTCTTTTGGTGAAATTTTCTTCATGTTTCTTGTCCTCAGAGTTTGCTCAGCTTCTTCTGTTGAGAAGATTATAATTTTCATCAAATTAAGAATATTTTGACCAATTTTTCTTCAAAAATAGTTTATGGCCCCCCTCAGATAATCCAACTGAACTCATATCAGGCTACCTGAAGCTATCCCACAATGCACCAATGGCCTGCTCTGTTTGTTTTTTCAGTCTTTTATCCTCTCTGTTTCATTTTTGCTAGCTACTATTACTGTCTTCAATGTCACTAACCTATTCTTCATATCTAATCTTCTGTTAATGTATTTTTCATCTTATGTATTGTTTCTATATCTACAGGCTTATTTGTTTTTGCAGCTTACACACTTACTCTATAGTGAACATACCTATGCTTTTTTCTACCATTTGAATATTTGCAATGTAGATATAAAAACTCAATGTATTCACGTAGTAATTATTTCATTTGTGTCTTTTATACATCTGCTGCTGTTGATAGCTTTCTCTGTCCTTTTTCAGGTTGTATTTTCTTGCTTTGCATGCTTCGTAATTTTTGACCGAACAGTAGCCATTGTAAACTTCACTTCACTGAATTTCAGGTATTTTTATATGGATGTAAATATTCTTGATACTTATTCTGATATCACATAAAGTTACTTGGAAACAATTTTATTCTTCTGGGGTTTGATTTTAAGCTTTGGCATGTGGAATCAGAGCAGCCATTCATCTCAGGATAATTTTGCCACACCACAGGCCCTAGCCTTGCCTTGTAAGAGCCCTAATTCATGCCTCATGCCCCATGTGTTACAAGGTTTTCCACTCTGGTCAGCAAAAATACAAATTTTTTTACAACCCTACCTATTGTTCCACTCAGTTTTCCCAGTGGTCTCTGTTTTCCCAGCCTTGGATTGTTTCCCTGTATGCATGATCTCTTCACCCTTCTCCTGACTCCCTTCCTGCCTCCTCCTCCTCCTTCTTCCTCTTTATCTCTATCTCTATCTCTCTTCCACAAAGGCCTAACTTCTTCTCTGTCCTAAAATTCTAGCCACCTTGACCACTTCAATTTGCGAACTCTTTCAACTCTTTCTCAACAACTCAATTAAAGAAATGCCATTTCAGTTCCCTCTCCCTGCACTGTAGCCTGAAAATTCTCTCCAGGGAGTTGGCATCTGCAATTCTTACTCACAGTGTTTCCTTTCTTTTAAGGGTCTTTATCTTGTGCTATCTTCATTCAATTTTTGAAAAATTTTAGAGAATTTGTTCATTTCATGGTTTTTCCTTAGGATGAGAAAATAAATCTGATCCTTATTAGTTTATGTAAGCCAGAAACAAAAGTATCCACTCATATTTTTCACAGGCACTCAAATCTACACATCTACAACTGAACTGATTTCCATGTGCTGTTTTCTCCTTCATTGTTCCAAACACAACTCCAGAAGTAACAAAGAAATACAGCACTGTTTCTCCTCCAGTGTTTCCTTATTTTAGAAAATATTGCTGTCTTTGAGACCATAATGTTAAGTGAAATAAATCAGATACACAAGGTTGAATATTGCACAGTTTCTCTTGTATCTGAATACCAAAAATATAAATAAAGAGCAAAATAAAAGATAATAGGAAGTAGGAAGATAGATCTTTTTCAGACGGGAAGGGGATCAAGAGATGGAGAGAGAACAAGGAGAGGAGGGAAAGGGGATTAAAAAAGAATTGAGATGAATTATGTACCTGTACCAATTCCACATGAGGAACATAACCATTCTGAAAAAAGCAATTATCATCATTCAATCACACAAGCCAGTAGCTAGAAGTTATGTTTTTTTCCTTCCCTTTCCTGAACTCATAATCTAATTAGTCACTGAATTCTCTCCTTTTCAAGTCACCATCTTCATCCAGGAAGCTTGCAATTAATCTGTGACAGGTCGCTTCCTTCAATACTGCCCTCCTCTAACCCACTACTTATATCAAAGTAGCCATCATATAGCCTTTCTCTAAAAACAAAAACCAAAATTTAAAATGTAACTTTTACTTTACTCACTATATTTATTGTAGTGGTGTGGATGAATTAATTTCAAAACTGTTTAAAATATAGCATAGGATTTCCCAAATATATCAGTGAAAAATACTGTGTCGGGCTGGAATTACTAATATCAACACAAACTTAATACACATATACATATGCATGCATATACATATACATGAATATGTACAAGGCTGTGTAAATAACATATATATGTGTGGGTGCATGTATGTATGTTTGTGTTTGCTATTTTCCAAGTTCTGTCCACTAAGAGGTCACTGAGAGTTTAACAGCCTTATAGCAATGACAACATCTAACATCCAGAAGTTCTACTTCAAACATAATCTGCAAAAGGATTCCATTTCTTGGGGAAATGGCTGATTGCCAGGCCAAAGCAGGGAAAGTACAAAATAAATCTAGAATGTACTATCATGACATATATCAAAAGTGTGCTCAAAAAATGAGGCAAACATATCAAAAGGAAATGGAAGTCAAACTGAACATGCTCCTAGTGCACAAATATGGGAAAATATGAGCAAAACTTTTAATGAAAGTGAATAATGATATTAATGTTTTATAATCCACTGAATAAAATAGGAGTGCAATCATACTGACAATTAGCTAATTAATTAAAGAGAGAAAAAGATTATTGCTTACAACAGAATGCTATCTAATAAATGTAGAGGAATAATACACTTAGGAAATCATCAGTTTTGTAGCTGTAATTGTCATTATTCATGCAAGAATAACCAACAACTGTTGGTAAAAGTAGTGAGTACAAGTTGGAAGAGGAACAGAATAGTCTCAAAGCATATCTCCACTAATAACTTTTTAATTCTAAGTTTAAAATAGTATTTTAGAGTGGATAACCTGGTGGACATCAAAATTAACATTGCCAATAATGAAGCAAATAGATATACCCTGAGGGGAAAAAAACAATTAACTCCTGGGGGTTTAGTTCAAAAATTGAATGAGGGAGATCTGATTGACATCATGAAAGAAAAGAATGCTGAATAATTATATCAGATTATAGGTTAAAGAGACACAGCAATAAATGTAACACATAGTCCTGGATTGAATCCTAAATCAAGAAAAATTGTTATGAAGTGCACTTCGGAGATAATTAGAAAATTTTAAATATGGACTAAAATGCGAAGAAAGTGTGTTAGATTACACTTTCTGAATTTGTAACTGCACTGTAGTTTTATGAAATGATTTTTTTTGTTCTAAGCCAATATTCACTGAAGTATTTAAGGACAGGGAGGCATAATATGTGCAAGTAATTCTCAAATGGTTTTTTAAAAAGTTAAATCCACACACTTGTATACATGCCATTTCAACACAGCCTATGGCATGTTATAATTTATTGATTTCATTATGATCAAATTGCTGATGGTACTGAACTGGTGATCAACTAAATTCCCACCTCACCCACGAACTGCTCAGCTTTAGAGTGCTCAGCTGACAGCCTCAGGGTCTTGAGAACCATGCTTCCCACCTGATCCTGGGCCCCACTTGTCGTCCAGGCAGGGACTGGTATTTGTTACTAGAAATTAATGTCCTCACACTTCGATACATAATACTCCACACACATTGGCCTAAGGAAAATCCAGAACCTACCAAAATCACACTAGAGAGATCAGACACTAAAATGAAGGGCTCAAACTAATTTCTAATGCTCAGAGGAAAGAAATTGAGCTTTACATTAACCTTGCTCGGCAGACTACTGAAGGCAAAATATGATTCATTTTGCTGACAACAGCCAAGAAGAGGATCTTTTATAAGTTTTATTTTTATTAGTACATGCTTGCAGTACAGAATGATTACACTCATTAGGGAGGTTGGCACCACATATAACACATCTTAATTCTTTTTATGTCCCATTTCCCCTCTGCTCCCCCTCCCCCTTCCTCTGCCCCTCGATGTCTTCCCCACTTGTTGTTTCCTATTCTCTCTCTTTTATTCTGCTCTTTGATTTATATTTTGGGTTTCCCACAGAGAAAACTTTCAAAGAATCACTGACCTCCAAGCCCAGGCCGCAGTCGGTTGTCATAGCCATCCAGAAGGCGATCCAAGATCCGGGTGAAGATAGTGATGTTGTCAGTGCTGTCTTCAGGAATATTTGGATGCTTAGGAGACAGACTGGTGTAATGCAAGGAAAAGAAAGGAAAATAATAGTTCACAATAGGAAAGAATTCCATAGCTAAACAAAAAGATTTCAATCAATAGACCAGGGCAATTAAATAGCCTTATATCTTAACCAAAACAGCAAGCACTTCCTATTTGTTACAATGATTACCTTTGTAGGAAGTCAATCATAAGCAGTACTTGATTTCATACTCCAGCATTAGCATGAGGTTTACCTAATATGCTCCAGCTACATTCCAGCCAAAGAGAGACACAAACAGAAACCCTGGAACAGAATGTTGCTGGGAACAGAACCTGGCATACAGTTGATTCATCAAATTTTGTCGCATGAATGAACAGAACTCAAGAAATGAGAACTTTATACTGAGACTTACCTTCATCTAATCCAGAGAAACACAAGTTCATAAAATAACAGAATCTGATAAATCCACAAATTGCATCAAAGTCTACCCTGTCCCTCACCTTACAGAGATGAGGCAACCAAGCCATAGTAAGCCACTTGTCTAGTGTCTCAGCTGCCTCCTGCTTGTCAAAGTTGCATGCATTCTGCAAGCCTTTCTGATCTCCACTTACTTTACCAACCACATAATCAGGCCCAGATACTGTGACTGATAATTGAACTTTTTGAGGAGGACTTTGATGTAACTAAACAGGACAACACATTGTTTTTAAGTCTATGGATGGTGTGGGGGAATGAGGGATAAAGCAAAGGAAATGGATGTTCCCAAAGGTAAAAACGTATGGTGTGGAAGCAAGAAGTGGACCAAGAGCTAGAAATCCTGAGTCCTATTGCACCCTGTATTTCTTATTTGACACACACTGATGAGCAAGTTACAGTGGTATATGTCTGTGGGGCTCAGATTTCCCTATTCTTAACTTGGACCCAGAAGGTTGACTTTAATAAACATATAATAACTACTTCTAGTGTGTAGTTGATCAGATCTGTAAAGACACTGGTTATGAAGTCCTAAGGCAAAGTCAATATGTCCACACTTATCTCTAGCAGGTTTCTGTTCTAAAAAGGCCCTGAGGAAGATGTATGGAATAGTAGAAACATCTGAGTTGAATAGTTCTCACCCATAACTATCATTCTTTATGTGAAAACCTAGCAAAAGTCATTTTGAACAAGTTCCTTAATTCATAAACATAGTTTAATTCACTCAATCATCCAATGCATTTTATTAAATACTTTGTGACTATTACTATTCTAAATGTGTGACAGGGTAGAAAACAAAATAAAGTAAGACAAATCAAGAAACCCTTCCCTTGCTTAATTTATAGGATTGTTGAGATGATTACAAACTACATATGGAGAATGAGAAGTTAAAGAGTATGAAGACATGCATTTGGGTTTATTAGTTATGTGACCTTAGGCAAACCATAAAACACCTCTAGTAATTGCTTTAGCAATTAAAATAATTTGACAGATTAATGTCATATTAACATTAAATAATATAATGTACCGCAACTGCCAGGATTCATGTTTCATGTCGAGAACTATTCAAAGATTGTTTTATCATTTTGAAAATAGTACTTTATGGGTTCAAATACAAATATTAACAGTGAAAACCTGGCTTCTTCATGAGCCAAAAGCCATAAGGAGGACTCCAGCCAGAGGGGCACTGGAACCTACCAAGAGCAGGATAGATCACAGAGAGTGGTACAGTTGCTTCACTGGAAATGGGGAAGAAAAAAGGCACCCGGGTGTAAAGCAAACAAAATGACATCTGTTGAAGGGAGAAATACAGAAATTTTGTCAGGGGACTATCTGGATTCTGGATCCACCTAATATGAGCCATGAGAACTCGAATGACTTTATGAAAATCTCTTTTTTATTATCCCTTGTCTCCCACTGTAATAAATCTTGACCATGATTAATTCATTTCTGAGAAACAGGTCACTGAATTGAATGCACAACCTTTTATTGAATGACTATAAATAAATAGAACAAAGAATTCTCACAGAGAACAAGCAAAGTATAAAGGGCTTCAGAGATTTTCTATTCCAGGTGGATTTGCAGATGAGAATGCTAAAGCCCCTCAATATGTCTTTTAATCAATGTGAGAGTTAGTGGGAAAGCTAAAAATTGCATGAAAAATTTCTTAATATAAGGATGATATATCATGCCATCCCTGGAATAATGGCTTCCACGACAATGAATTTCTATCTTCTAATGACTCTGTTGATGTGTTAGCAACATTAGCAACCTTGTCACCAATAAATTTACAACTTTTAAGTCAAAAATCTGTGGTAAATATTACTCTCAAAATTTTTCTCTATGATTTTACACTTGATTACTGAAATGTTTTTCTCCTGTTGCACACTGAATTACTAGAACCCAAATGAGAACTCTTTCTTCTTCAAAAATTGGACTGCAACAAGATGCTGTGGTTGGTGCCAATTCCAAGGTAGTCTGGGAAAAAGAAAGAATCATGGTATGTCCAGATGATTGAAGTCCTTAAAGATCATATAATTCTTTCCCCTCCTTTTGCAGAAAAGACAACGAAGCTATAAGAGAAAGGGATTATTCAAAGTCACATGCTTATTATGTTGATGAAATTGATTCCACAATCTTGCCTGTTGTACCTCATCTCTGTCACTACTGGCTGGATTAAATATAACAATAATCCCTCAGTAAAGAATGAAAAAGATGTTACTAATACCCTATCTGTAGATTAGATAGTTTAGTTTTCCAGTCTTAAAGACGTATTGCAGTAACTTCACAGGGTTAGAGTGAAATGACTAGGGTTAGTTCTGCCTCTGCCACTTATTGCAGGACCTATTTGCTCGCATGTAAAATAGGGATGATAATGCTCTACTTTAGAATGGTGTTGAAAGAAGTAAGAGACAATAAATTTAAGAATTGCTTTGTAAATGAAGGCTGTTCCTTAAATCTTCCCCACAGTCCTGAAAATGTAATGTGAAACCTTTGAAAGACAGGCGTTTCAAGCTATGAGACAAAGTCAAGCTCGTTGACCACGTAGAGATTAAGTACAAGATGTTAGCAGTAGCTACATTAGTTCAACTTCATCAAAGACCCCGGTGTGTTTATGTTGGGAGAAAGAAAGCTGGAAAATCCTGGCTGCAGAATTGCTGGTACAGTTCATACAACAATCTGAAGAGAAGAGAAATTTACTTCACTAAAAGCAAGGTATTTTCTTTAATGTTGCATATATCCTGGGGAAGAATAGATGTTTTTAAACAATTAAAATTCTAAATTACTGCCAGATCACATCTCTGCACTGCTCCCAAGTCCTCCATAACTCTTCATGGCTTACCAAATAAAATTTTAACTCCTTAGCCTGACATTCATGGCCTTCTGCAATCTGTTCCAAATATCCTTTAACAACTGTAAATTCCATTACTTTACTTTTGGACCAGAAATCATGGACAAATCAGATTACCTGCCATTTCCCAATATCGCTCGTGTTTTCATTTTCCTAGCCCAATTTTTCCTGTAAGCAGAAAGGTCTAACTAAGGATGCTGTTTATATTCTGGGGAGGGAATGAGAAACACCTGCTGCCCAATAGCACACATTCCAATGTCTTTACAGAAACCACTTGAAGATAAAAAATAAACAAAAGGATTTTTGATGAGAATATGCTTATCCATTTCAAAAAGACAGCTGCTCTTTTCTTAAATAGCTTCTACAGACTGGCAGTAAAAATAGAGACATATTGGCTTGAGATACACCCACTCAACATGTGCCCTACCTGTTCATGTTAACTTTATTTGCTGAGTTAACGTAAAACGAAGATCAAGTCCTTCATGACTTTTTAAGAACTTAAAGGCATTGATTCACCAAAAAATACACAGTAACATTTAACTAATATATGATGTGAATGAGAAAATAAGCTACTAGACCTTAGACATACATTCCATTTATGTCCATAAATAGACCCCCAACTTACAAGGTATGATTGAAAAATATGGTGAATGTTTAAAGTTTGAAAAAATTTATTACAGCAAGACACATTGCTGTTACTCCCCCTCAAAATGCTCCTCCTCACTTTGAACACACTTATCACATCGGTCTTTTAGCTTCCTGAAACATTTCTGCAAGTCCTCTTTTGCAATTGTCTTTAGTTGTGCTGACATGGCTGTCTCAATGTCTTCCCTGAATCATTTCAAAATGGTTACCTTTCATGGTCATTTTGACTTGAGAGAGAGCCAGAAATCACATGGTTCCAGACCTCCTAGATAAGATGGATGAAGACACATGTAATGTTTTTATGAGCCTGCCTTTCTGTTGGATGACTCTCGGCAGCAGCATTCACCATGTTTCTGATCACATCTTGTAAAGATATTCACAGAAGAGGACTTAAAGAGCTGCCTCAGAAAGTGGCAAGATCGCTTCTCAGCCTTTTGGCTAAGATCAAGTGCAGAAAGTGGCAAGAATGGTGGGATAAGTGTATTCAAACCAAAGGGAAATATTTTGAGGGGAATTCATGGCAGTGTGTCTTTCTAATACATTTTTTATTTAAGCATTCACAGTATATTTGATGATCCCTTGTAAAATGACTCATGATTCAAAGTATGCAAAGAAGTAGGTATACATTCTTCCTTTAAAACATTGGCATAAAGGATACTAGTTTTCCAGACAAGACCACACAAGCCTGTGTCTCATAGTTCACCTGAATGACAGTAACGAAAGCGCCAGTGCATAAGCCCTATTTCAGCAACAGGTCTGGTCAGTGGACTTTCACTGGCCAGCATGAGAACCGTTTATAACACTGGCTCTGCAGAGACAAATTTTGACACTAAAGAGGGGGAAACTGCAGTACTAGAAATACTGTCTCTCCCACTATTTGCTTTGTACCCTGCAGCTATGGTCCAGGCAATGAGTTGGCCATGTCTCAATCAATCTTGGTGACTGGTACCCTTACAAGGGAGAGCCCTGACTGTCGCCACCTTAATGAGGCAGTCAAATTCAGCATCAGTAACACTGAGACAACCCTGTCTCCTGATACGATGCCCTGAGCTTCACAGCCTC